TTAACCCTAAACCTGTCAACCTTAACCCTCTAGGGTTGGGGTGCCTACATCATCATCGGATTTGACAAGCTCTGCGGAAATTTCTATATGACAAGGTTATAACTTATTGCTGTGGTTATAACTATGGGCTAGGTTTTGATTTTTATACACTTATGTAAACCCATTAGAATAAGGGGAACCCCATCACGCCCCAACAAGCGAAATATCCCAAACACTTTACCTTAGCTAAAATATCTCAAGCAACCATTCCCCGATACGCAACACCTGAATTCCATCATTTAACGATATAGTTTGTGTATATGTTGAATCCCAGCAAGTAGTGAAAGTGACGAGCTCTGCGGATATATGTACATGACAAGGTTACAACTTTTTGCTGCGGTTATAACTATGGTTCAGGGTTTGATTGATATACATGTAAATTCACCTATAAGAAAATGAGGGCAACCCCATCACGCCCCAATAAGCAAAACAAAACCTCTATCCCAAAAGCTTTACCTTACCTAAGATCGCTCAAGCAACCATCCCCCGATAAGCAAAACTTGAATTATCCTCTTTGTTTATATTTTGAATCCCATGAAGTAGTTTTCAGGACATTCTCTCACAGTATTCTCGCGTCACCGGGGCGAAAGAGCCCTACAAACGTAGGCATAGCCCTGTGGGGTTTAAGGTTTGGGGATTTAAGCTCTAAGTGCTCTGGGGTTTTATGGTTCTATTGTATAGGTAATTAATGCCCAAACCTTAAACCTAATCCTTTAAACCCTATAGGGTTCAATGGTTCGACAACCTAAGGTCTGGGCATGTATACCTTCAGCACCCTTTAGGGTTAAAACCTTTGAACCTTTGGGAGCCCTGTAGGGTTTTACGGTTCTGACCCTAAACGAATCAGGGTTAATGTCTGAATGCCCGAACTTTAAACCCTTAAGATTAAAACTCTTTGAGTTTTCGTTTTAAATGCCTAAGTCCTAAACCCCAACCCCTTACACCTTAACTCTATAGGGTTTAAAGGTTCGGGTTTAGGTTGAATTGCCGGCTTAGGTTTAAATGCCTCAATCTTAAACCCTAAACCTGTCAACCTTAACCCTCTAGGGTTGGGGCGCCTACATCATGATCGGATTTGACAAGCTCTGCGGAAATTTCTATATGACAAGGTTATAACTTTTTTGCTGCGGTTATAGCTATGGTTCAGGGTTTGATTTATATACATGTAAATATCCTATAAGAAAATGAGGGTAACCCCATCACGCCCCAGTAAGCAAAACAAAACCTCTATCCCAAAAACTTTACTTTACCTAAGATAAGCTCAAGCAACCATCCCCCGATAAGCAAAACCTGAATTCTATCATGTAACCATATGGTTTGTTTATATTTTGAATCCCAGGAAGTAGTGAAAAGGACATTTGCTCACAGTATTCTCGCGTCATTGGGAAGAAAGCCCTACAAACGTAGGCATAGCCCTATGGGATTTAAGGTTTAGGGATTTAAGCTCCAAGCCCTATAGGGCTTTAAGGTTCTATCGTACAGGTAATGCCTAAACCTTAAACCCTAAGCCTTTAAACCCTGTAGGGTTGAATGGTTCAAGAAAACCTAAGGTCTGGGCATGTATACCTTCAGCACCCTTTAGGGTCAAAACCTTTGTTCCTTGTAGAGCCCTATCGGGTTTTAGGGTTCTGACCCTAAACGGTTCAGGGTTAAGGTTTAACTGCCCGAACTTTCAACCCTTAATGTTAAATCTCTATGGGTTTAGGTTTAACGTTTAAAAAAACCTAAATCTCAAACCCTAACCGCTTAGCCTTAACTCTATCGGGTTGAACGGTTAGGGTTTAGGTTTCATTGCGGGCTTACGTTTAAATGCCTCAATCTTAAGCCCTAAAACTGTCAAACCTACATCATCGTCGACTTGTTGCTGTGGTTATAACGATGGTTTAGGGTTTAAAATATATACATTTATGTAAGCCTTTAAAAATTAAGGGGAACCGCAATAGGCGGACGCCCATATATATATATATATACATATATATATATACATATAATATATACATATGTATGCATATATATATATAGATAGATAGATAGATAGATATATATATATATATATATATATATATCTATCTATCTATACGCAATACAACCCAAGGGCCATTACTTCAGAAACCCTCTAAGGAAGGAAAGGGACCATACTCCGGTCCAAAGCCTAAACCCTTTTTCGGGTTTTGGATTTTTAGGGTTTAGGATTGTAGCGCTTAGGGAATTCAGGGCTTAGGATTAAGATGTTTGGGGTTCAGGGTTTAGGGTTTGGGGCCTTTGGGCTTAGGGTTTAGGACTTTAGGGTTCAGACTGCAACCTAGACAGCCTTACATGTTAAACAAATAATAAACTCTCCGTCGCAAACCCTAAACCCTAAACACTACACCCCAAACCCCAAACTTTAAACCCCAAACCCTCAACCCTAAACCCTTCACCCCAAGCCCTCAACCTACGTACTCGAAACCCCAAACACTCAACCCTAATCCCAAAGCCTACCCCACCCCCCTCGTCCGGCCTACGCTCGCAGCTCATCCGCTCATTTTTTTCTTCGCGGGGGGGGGCCCGGGTCGCCCTTCCCACGCTGCGAGCCAAAGAGGCTGCATTGGGCTTATAGGACCTAGACGGTTAAAGGTTTAGGGTATGGGGTTTAGGGTTTAGGGTTTAGGGTTTAGGGTTTGGGGTTTAGGGTTTAGGGCTTGGGGTCAAGTGGGATCAACCTGCGGTGGCTAGGGCTAGGGTTTCGGGTAAGCAAGGGTTGAGGGCTTAAAGGGTGTCGGACATGGGGTACTTTGAGGGTTCAAGAGTTGTTGTGGGTTTTGTCGTGGCGAACTCTTACCCCCAACATCGAAAGAAGGGCCCGGAAAGTAGCCAAAGGATCCATACATGTATGGATTTTCTCAACTTATTGCACTTCCCCAATCTACCTCGCCCCAAAAGCCTGAAACCCGGACTGTAGGATTCCCCCCCTTTGGGGCGCAAGTACCAAGTCTCCTCGCACCTTTGCTTCGTCCTCTAAGCCCTCAGTAACTCTATGCCCTATATACAAGGAGTGCGCATTTCTGCATGTATGTAATGGCAGGTCATGTGGGTATGCACGCATGTCTGTATGTAAGTCATGGTGTCATGGTGTCATGGTATGATTGTATGCAGGTATGTAAGTATGATGGAATGTAGAGATCTGTTTGTGTGTGTATGTGTGTATGCACACCATACACACCACGCCCTGTGCCTCTAGCTGTCCTGGGGCTCAGACTTTGTGAAGCCCTAAGCCCCCTAAACCCTAATCCCTATATCTATCCCCCCTCACGCTTTGTGGGCATGTAAGGATGCTTTCTACTACCCCGAGAACGAGAAGTATAGTGCTCGGGCCACGCTAGACCCTAAACTCGACAACCCTTTGAATAAACAAAAGCAAACTACACCCCAGAACCCTAAAAACCCTATAACATTTCCTAGACCCTATATAGACCTAAGTCTGAAGCTTCTTCCCCTAAATCCTAAACCCCTCAAAAAAAAAACATGCACGACCGTGAGCCTTTGAGTCCAACCTACGAGTTCTTATCCTAAGGGCCCATGTACCTCATGATTATATACTTGGGCCCAACAGTCCCAACATAGGAGGTACCTTCAGGCCCAGGTATTCCCTACTTAGGTACATGGAACCCTAAACCCTAAACCCTAAACCCTAAACCCTAAACCCTAAACCCTAAGCCCTAAACCCTCATGGATCCTGAGGGGAAAAGAGAGCACCACCCACAGAAGGAACCCGAAGCCTTCAACACAACGTAACGGGCTTGGGTTTAGTTTGAGGTTTAGGGTTTAGGGTTTAGAGTGTAGGGCTTAGGGTTAAGGGTTTCGGGCTTAGAATATAACCCCTAAGCCCGCTCAGCTCGAAACCCAAAGCCCCTGAAAGTGTCTAGGGTTGAAGTGCTACGTTGGGTTGAGCCCTCAACCCTAAACCGTAAAAACCAAAAACAAATACACAACGCTAAATGCACAGAATGCCCCCCCCCCCCCCCCCCCCCCCCCTCCCCCCCGGCAAAAAAAAGAACGAGCATCCCTTACTAAACAAAAAGCAAGCCCGAAACAAAAAGTGAGGGTAAACACCCTAACAGAAAACAAGAACAGGAGGCTAAACACCCTAACAACCCTAAACCATGCAAACCCTAAACCCTGAACCCCTTAAACAAGACCTAAAAATGAAAAAACACAAACAACTTCAAAAAACACAAAAAGCAATAAAATAAACTAAAAAGCATAAAGAAAAAACTAAAAAGAATAAAAAAAAATCCCTGGGGTCCATGGCGGCTCGAAGATGCTCCGCGAACTGCATCTGCTGCAGCTGCTGCTGCCTCTTTGGGGGAACTGCGAAGGGCCGCCCCCCCCCCCCCTTTACGGGGGGAAGAGGAGGTTTGTTTGGGGTTTAGGGTTTGGGGTTTAGGGTTTGGGGTTTAGGGTTTGGGGTTTAGGGTTTGAGGTTTAGGGGTTAGGGTTTTTGGGGCTTGGGGTCCGGGGAAGATGGGTTTTAGGGCTTCTTAGGGGTCTTCGTAGGGCTTTTGGGGGTTTTAGGGCTTAGGGTGGTTCAGGGTTTGGGGTAGGGTTGAGGGTTTAGGGTTCAGAGATATAAGGTTTAGGGCTTTACGATGTAGGGCTCATCAAAGTTTAGGGTTCAAGAGGCTCCTTGCCCTAAACCGCACACTCTCAAAACCCCAAGCTCGCAATTCCCAAAACTTGTCTCATTCGGCCTTGTGAGATTTGTGTCTTAGGATCTTTGGGTACCGGGCGTTCAAGACTCACAAAGGGTCTAGGTGTTTAGGGTCTTAAACCAAAAAACCAAAAAACCCTAAACCCTAAACCCTAAACCCTAAACCCTAACCCTCCCTCGACCCCTGGTGCTGGTCCAGCCTTTGCAGCACATCCAGCCGCATCACCAGGAGCCTGGCAGCAAAAAAAACACGGTAATTACCGCGCGCAAACTGCAAACTTCTTCAGGAATGAAGAAAACGGTTCAGCTGAAAGATGCTAACCCTAAACCCTAAACCCCAAACCCCAAACCCCAAACCCTAAACCCTAAACCCAGAGTCATAAACCCCAAGCCTCAAACACACACCCCCAATACCCTGCGCACCCTTGTGTCTGAAACCGCCAACCCTAAATCCTAAGCTCGATGCGACCTAAATAGACCAACCCTAAAGGGTTTAGGGTTTAGGGTTTAGGATTTAGGGTTTAGGGTTTAGGGTTGGGGGTCCTCAAAGCCTGAACCCTAAGCCCTGAACCCAAAAGTTAGAAGTGGAGGTCTAGCTTGGATAACGACTAATATTCTCGCTGGATATAGTCCTATTTAGGCACTTGCAACCCTACTTATACCTGCACATGAACCTTCAAGTAGCCCCAAACCCCAAACCCCAAACCCTAAATTCAAAACCCTAAACCCTAAACCCTAAGCCCTGAACCCTGAACCCTAAACCCTAAACCCTAAACCCCAAACCCTAAACCCTAAACTCCAAACCCCAAACCCTAAACCCTAAACTCCAAACCCTAAACCCCAAACCGCAAATCCACACCCTGGGCGCCGTGCTCCTCACCGAGCAGCTTCTTGAGCTTGCTCTCCCATTCCTGTAGGGGTGTTAGGGTTTAGGGTTTAGGGTTTAGGGTGCAGGGTTTAGGGTTCAGGGTTTAGGGTGCAGGGTTTAGGGTTCAGGGCTTAGGGGTGTTTTGGGTGTTTAGGGCTTAGGGTGTCTTTGATGGGTGTGTTTAGGGTTTAGGGTGTGTTCAGGATTCAGGGTGTTTAGGGTTTGGGGTTTAAGTTACAGTCTAGGGGGGGTGGGGTTATGGTTGAATGAAGTGGTTCGGGTGTTGTGGCTTGGGGCGATTTGGGGTTTGTGCCTGGCTTATCTCTACTACCCTAACGGTGGATGGATTTGGGGGTTTCCGAAATTAGGGGCAGCTTATCGGGGTCCTTCTTTATAAGGGAATCCCACTACTGACGGGGTTTAGTTTAGGGCCCCCTGTTTTCTTAAACCCCCATTTCGGGTTTGGGGCTTAGGGTGCGCGACTCAGAATCGTACCTCCCGCATGGCGTCGCGAAGTGCCCGTCGCACCTGGCAAGATGTTCGTTCAATTGTTTTAAGAAGAGTTTGAATACAACTGGTTATTAGTAAAACTACTATTTATTATGATTGTTGGCTAGGGTGATACGTTGCAGGAAGTCAAGCTATCATTGCTTTAGGGTTTTGAGGTTTAGGGCGTTTAGGGTCCTTATCCCCCCATATGCTCCCAAACCTCAAACCCCAAACCATAAACCCTAAACCCCAAACCCCACCTCGAACTGCCCATCCCTAAGCCCTAAACCCTAAACCCCAGACCCTACAAACTGAGCCCTTACAGACACCCGGGGTGGGAAACTCACTTCTAGGGGTTTGGACCCTTAAGGTTGTACCTCGGGTTTTGGGAACCTGCCTAAAGATTCTTAAGGTAACATAAGGGCCATATTAGGAGTGTACTTAGCAGAACCTTAAGAAAAGGGCGACTGGGGGGGGGGGGTGTTTAGGGATTAGGCACAAACCCTAAACCCTAAACCCTCAACCTTGAGCCCTAAACCCTAAACCCTGAAGCTTTAACCCGAACCCTAAACCCTAAACTGGGACTCCATTTACCTGCAGTTTAGGGATTTAGGTCTTAGGGTGATCTACCTGGGAAATTTCTAAGATTGGAGTTACGGGTAAGCACTTGCTTCGACCTGCAGCTGAAGCCGCTGCTGGTTAGTGTAGGGTTTAGGGCTTAGGGCTTAGGGCTTAGGGCTTAGGGTTTAGGGCTTAGGGCTTAGGGCTTGGGGTTTAGGGTTTAGGGTTTAGGGCTTAGGGTTCAGGGTTCAGGAACCAGGGCTTAGACCAAAACAACTCTTCCTCTTGACGGCCGGCTGGCCTCGTCCACAACCGTGCGCGAGGAGTCATCCATCTGCAGGTCAAGGCGCCATATACCCCTAAACCCTAAACCCTAAACCCTAAACCCTAGACCCTAAACCCTCTAGATCCCGAAGCTTTGCACAAGAACTGTGCGCAAAACAAAGTTGGTACGGAAACCATATTCTAACTCGGGCGCCCTTTTTGGCGCCGGCTGCTTCTAGAAAAGGAACTTGGGATGTCCCCCCTTATACTTACAGTTGTTCATAGGGATTGTTGTACCCCCTACTATACTCCCTAATGAGGACTGTTAGTATAAGGGGCAACATCCCAAAAAGGAACCCAGAACCCAAAAAGCCAAAAAGGATGGAGTGGCACATTTGGGCTACCAAGAAGCCCAGGCTTCGGGCTTGCGGTTTAGGGTTTAGCGTTCAGGGTTCAGGGTTGAGGGTTTATTGTTTAGGGTCTAGGGTTTTCAAGGCCCTAGAACCCTAAACCCCTGGAAGTCAGGGATGTCATGAGCCGGCAGTCGCCCCCCAAAAAAACCGTGCGGAATCTCTAGATAAGCCGAAACACCGAATCTTGGGACGCTCCCCCCTTATACTATCCTCAGTAGGGATGGTAAAAGGGGGGGGGGTACTGAATCCCTAATTTGGCTTCTTGGTATAAGGGGGGTCCTGGCTCGGCGGCAATCGACGGCTCGCCAATCTGCCACGGGTGGAGGCAGCTGCTGGAAGTCCCCTTCCGCCACCAAAATAGGCCAGCAATCGCAAGGCTTCCACACGTAGTGGATCTGCTCCCAATGCGATTTCTGGACCATGCCGAGCAGACCACCCACACGGCACAGTTGCTGGCTAGCTCCGCGATGGCGGTCGTCGCTAGCCAGGAGCTTGGCGACGGTGACGGACGTTTAGGGTTTCGGGTTCACGGTTTAGGGTTTACGGTTTCGGGATGTTTCGGGTTTTGGGGCTTGGGGCTTAGGGTTTGGGACTTGGGGTTTAGGGTTGCACGGACCTTGACTATAGACAGGGCTCTTTCTTACGATGTAGGGAAAGAGACCCTACACGCATGGTACCTAAACCCCCTAAACCGCAAAACCCTAAACCCTAAACGACTTAAGGTCTGTTCCAGAATGAGAAGGTGTCTTAATCCCCGTTCTCCTAGGAAGAAAAAAAGGATCCTTGTTGTTCAGATATAAGAAAGCCCATAACCCAAAAAGTAGAAGGGATCCCGAACACTGATCGAGGTGTAGCTTCGGGACCACGGGAGGGCTGGCGCTTCGGCGTCAGACTCCTTCTTAGGGCTTACGGCTTCCATGGGTTTAGGGTTTAGGGTAGAAGTCGAAGACTTCTAAGGGTTTAGGGTTTAGGGTTTAGGATTTAGGGTTTAGGGTTGAGGGTTTAGGGTTGAAGACCTCTCTGAAAACGCACAGTCTTGAAGGGTTCGGGGTTGCCGGGTGAGCCTTGGCGAGCCCGGTGAGCCCTCAACTCCAAGGGCAGTTATACCGTTTCTTAGTATGGGCCCTTAAAAGCATGCCCCATTAAGGGCCCACACATCAGAACCCTATAAAGGAGGTAAGGGACCATATTAAGGGCCCATGAAACTGCCCTCAGGTAAACTCCGGGCTTAGGGTGAATTCGATGTTTAGGGTCTGGGGATTTGGACTCTGGGGCTGGCGTGAGCCTTGTCGCTCTCCGCGTCGGGGATGTCGTCTCAGCATTGTGGTATTGGTGGCGAGGGAGTCTTAGGGTAGTTGCATGGCGCCTTCCTACGGACCCTGAATTGGGGAACCCTGATATATACCCCTTATATACCCTGCACAACGCAAGGGCCCATACCTCAGGGCCCATTTAAAGAGGTAAGTGACAACATGGAGGGACCATGTAACTTCCCATAGACGGGGGGAAGGGGCGAAACCAGAGACCCTAAAACCAATGGAGCTGCTAGCTGCTAACTTGTATTTAGGGCTTTCCGGTTGCTAGGAAAACTTACTGGGCATTCAGTGAAGCGTGCTGAAAGCATTGTTGCCGCGAGTTTTGGGTTCCAGGTAGGCACCCAACTTGTAAACCCTAACCCTAAACCCCAAGCCCTAAACCCTAAACGCTTCGCTCCGTGCTGCGCTAGACACTCGTCTCGCGATGTGGGGCCCGTTTGCTAGATGCCCTGTACCGGTTTAGGTTTAGGGTTTAGGGTTTAGGGTTTAGGGTTTAGGGTTTAGGCTGTGGTTCTATGCATGGAAAGAGGTGCACTACAGAAGGATATGACTATTTGCTTAAGAACACCCGAAAAATGAAGATTATGATCCCTACATTGCCCTTAGAAGGAAGACTACTTGATCTTTTTTGGGGGGGTTCTTAAGCAATTTGTAGTTGCCTAAACCCTAAACCCTGAACACTAGACCCTAAACCCTAAGCCTAAACCCTAAACCCTGGTCACTCGACCCTAAACCCCAAACCCCAAACCCTAGACTCTAGACCCTAAGCCCTAAGCCCTAAGCCCTAAGCCCTACGCCCTAAACCCTAAACCCTAAAGCCTAAACCCTAAACCCTAAACCCTAAATGCTCTGTTGGGTGTCCGGGCCGTCTCCCGGAGCGGACGTGGCCTCCAGGCTCGGGATGCGAATTGGGCTCGGCCTGCGGTGTAGGTTTAGGGTTTAGGGTTTAGGGTTTAGGGTTTAGGGTTTAGGGTTTGGGGTTTGGGGTTTGGGGTTTCGGGTTTAGGGTTTAGGGTTTAGGGTTCCGGGTTTAGGGTTCCGGGTTTAGGCTTTAGGGGTTATATAAGGGCTTAGGGGGATGGGGGTTGAGGGTCTTCGGGTTTAGGATTTGAAGGTTTAGGGTTTAGGGTTTAGGGTCTTGGGGTTTAGGGTTTGAGGGTCCTGGGGTCTTGGGGTTGAGGGGTTGAGGGGTTTAGGGTTTGGGGGTCTTGGGTAGGGCGGCTTAGTTTGGGGTTTATTGGGTCTTGGGATTTAGGGATTTAGGGATTTGGGGTTTAGGGGTCTTGGGTTAGGGGTTAGGCAGGACTTGGGGGCCAAAGGCTTTAGGGGAAGGCTTATCCGGGTTTGGCAGGCTTTTCTGATTCTTTTAACTTTAACAGCCTCGTTGTTGTGAGCCGGGTTGCTGTGCGATTGTTGCTATTGCTACTGCTATTATTGGTACTGCTAGCGCAATACTTGGTGTTGTTAGTGCTGATGCTGTAACTATTCGCACAGCAGTGTTATCATCACGGTTATCGCTGTTTATGCATCTACATGTGCCTTGATTGTTGTGGATGTTCACGCTATTGCTATTGCTGTCGCTGTTGCTGCCGCTGGTGCTGTCGCTATTGCTGCTGCTATTGCTATTGCCCTTACTCTCCCTGTTCCTCTTACTCTCACTATTTACTGTACTTCTAAACATCTTTGCTATTATGTTTGGCGTTTTTCGTTGCTAGTTGTTGAATTGCTGCTACTTATCATGCTCATTGTTGCTTTTTAGATGTCAACACCGGCACCTAGACCCTGAACCTTCAAGGGTCGTAGGGGCGGTTTCCCCTGTGATGTTCCAAGTTGGCTTGTCCTAAACTACTATTTGCTTAAGAACCCCAAAAAAAGGAACAAAAAGAAGGAACAAAAGAACTGTTCTTCCCTGTAATAAGGGCAAAATAGAGATGTGTATCTTATACTTTTTAGCGCTCTTAAGCAAACAGTAGTACACCCTAAGCGCTCATGGATGGAGTTCATGCGTGCTCACAGCATGCGCCGGCAGTTTGCCTCACCCGGCTGCCAAAATCCGTTGAGCTTCGGGTTTTGTGTTTAGGGTTTAAGGTTTAGGGTCCCAAAACCAGTACAAGAGGCTTACGGATCTATCCACACACCCTAAAACCCTAAAGCATCCACACACCCCAAAACCCTAAAACCCTAAAACCCTAAACCTTGAACCCTAAACCCCAAGCCCTGCACCCAAAAAGAACCCAAGCAAGTACTAGGCTTCAAACACCCTAACAAACAAAATCGTAGATATACACCATTCCACCCCGCAATACCCTCCTAAACCCTAAACCCCAATCCCTAAACCCTCAACCCTACATGCCCTACGCCCCAGCCTCTGTGCCGTAACAGCTGCCCCGCAACCTCCAGGGATTGCGAGGTTGTAGAGGTTGAAGGGTTAGGGTTTAGGGTTGAGGGTTTAGGGTTTGGG